TGCGCCATCCTCGCCCCCGTCAACCAGAGTGATGTTGTTCTGCGAAGCGACTTGGCGATTTTCGAGACCACTGAAGGGGTTGGGGACCACCGAGACGTCGTTTCTTTGATCAGACACTGCACCAGCAATCGCTTCGATGGCATCTCTGATGATGGAGCTGTCAGAGCTATTGTTGGAAGTGATCAGCATAGAGTAGAGGCTGTTGAACAGGGTTGAGGAGGTGCCCACGACCCAGCCGAAATTGTCGAACCCGACCGTGCATCTGCCCAAAAAGGCTGTGCTCTCTCCGTTCTGCATCGCTGTGCCGAGAATGTCGATTGGGATGAACGCATCGATGTGCGAATCCCAAGACCCAGCTTCGTACGGGTTGAACTCGAACACTTGCGTCTCGTTTGAAAGGAGCACGAGCTGGCCCGGCTCGCGCTCGTCGGCAATGACTACGGGGAACGGCATGCGAGCATCTGTGAAGGAGCTCGTGTTGCGAATATCGCCAAAAGTGGTACCTTGACCTTGGTCGGGGTACGTGGTGTCGTTGACCAAGTGGTACGACAAAGCGCGGCCCCAGTAGTCGGTGATTGATGTCGGATAGCCCTCGCCTCGCTTCCTTGCGACATCGGTCACTGGCAAAGAGGCGACGAAGGACAGGTGTGTTAGTGGACCGGACCAATCACAGCGTGCGTGTTACTTCGTGCACGCACCAATCTGATGGTTGGCAGAGGTGCACGATGGTGACGAGTGTCAGCGACGTAGACGCATGATCACCACGCCGCTCTGCCAGTACTCACATCAGTGTAGTAAGACAGCTTGCCATCGTCTGGAACGACAAGATCCTTCTCGAGATCCCAGATGCCGTCTTTGAGCTGCTGCGACGTGGGCCAATCATTGATAGCATACCCACCGACGGCCCAAGACCCGCCACTCAGTCCTGCAACGTAGTCCGCCAGTTGCAGGAAGCCACCAACGCCGCGATCGTTCGCGGTCTGATTGCGCGAGTCGAAGCCGGCCAGAACGCCAGAGCCGACAATCATAGCCCTGTATCCTCCGCCAGAGAGAGCGATGCCTACTCTCGGCAGCCTATCCTGCGCCGAAGTGTAGTTGGCCACACCTCCGGGGATCCCATTCGCGCCATCAAGATCTGGACCTGCACCAGTGCTGGAAAGCCACTGCTGCCACCCTTGCTGGCTGTTGCTGCGCTTTCGGTTAATGTAGTCCTGCTCTCCAGAACTGAGCGCGTTGCTGTTGGCATACCTGACTTGACCAATACCTCCTCCAGGCTGGGTCGCTCCCGATGCTGCAGGACAAGAGACGCTATCGGGACCATAGCTGCCCGAGGGATTTGCTCGTCTCGTCAATGTTCCAGCTCGCGCTGCGCTCCTTTGCAAGTGAGCGGCTCCCGCATTTCCAAGCTCGCGCAATGTCAAGGGTGCGCCAAGCGCCTCTGCATCCCGCGCGGTGAGGATCGTTTGCACTAGAGCATCTCGTTCGACAGGGCTAAGCGATGCGAGCTGGGATCGTTCAATCGGCGTAAGCTCGACGATGGGGGCGGCAAAGGCGCACGCAGCAAACGTAGCCGCCGCAAGCAAGGAAGAAGCTCCGATTCGCATGCTGAGGCGTCGTCAAAAGCGCAAGTCGGTAGTCGGTGGATGCACAGGGTGAGGATCGGTGATGATGTCGTCGATCTCAGAAAAGGCTGCGGACGAAAGGGGAGGCGGTTACGTATAAGTTCTGTTCAGAAAAGGCGAGGGCGTCAAGGAAGCGAGGTGAGGTCTGTGGTGTTGAGCTGGATACGCTCATGCCAGAGAAGTTCAGGGTGCTCCTCAAGAAGTTGTTCGGGACAGTGTATCCGGACAGCGCTGGACTTGGCTGCCGGAAGGGAAGAACTGCATGCATGCCGTTCCGGCGACTCGACGGGACAACATGGATGGACGATCTCCAATCGCGAATGTGCATCTCGCTCATCGCGCAGCACCGCGTGTGGAGGCAGCCAGAAGAGGAGGCGCTTGCATGGAGGCGGTGCAGGAGAGCCGGCTTGCAGCGCTTGGCTTTGCATCCATATTGGTGGTTGTGACATTAGGTGCAGCGGTCAGGATCATCCTTCACACACAAGCTTCAGATGATGCAGACACCGTCGCTGTAAGGCTAGGCTGCTCGAGGCTTGATGAGTATTTCAAATGGCACATTGTGGTAGCTGAGGTGCACGAGCGCAAATGTCCAAGATCGAAAGCTATGGCGAAAGTTCTCAGCAGCCTTCCTCGCTTTCACACAGTCGTCAGGCCGGAAACGCTAGGTGTTCGTAATCGAATTGGTCTTGAAGAGTCTCGACTACAGTCACATATTGGTTCCCTTCGCCTTTTCCATTGCAGCCTTGATGAGGGTCAACATCCTAGGCAGATCTAGCGCGAATCGCTCGAAGTTCTCGAAGAGGACGCGGATCTGCAAGGGACCTCATGTCATTTCGCGATCTCGACGGACGTGCCAGGTGTCTGAACTTGAGGACATAGCCGGGGAAAGGGGGGTGGCGGAGCATCCTCAAAGGAGCTCTCTGGAGTTGTCAATACTCACACTACTTGAACTTGATGCGGAACAGGTATCGGAACTTGACCTGTTCCACATTGTACACAATGTACTCGTTGTACATCAGAGATCGATCGTTATCAGAATCGTCCTTGAGACCGCCGACTGGCATGAGCACGCCTTTCAAGTCTTTTGCCAGGCCTAGCTTGGCGCAATCCTCCCAGGATGCCCTGCAAGATTTTCGAATGACCTTGTCAAAATTTAGGCGATCTACTGACTGGCGGCTTGGGATCCCGCAGGGCACTCACGGGATGTGTTGACCCATACCCAGAGTGGAGTGGGCCTTTGCTTCCTTCACTTTCTCGTCCGCATTGTAGTCAGCATGACGGAGCATCAATAGTTTGCCCAACTCCGCTTCGCAGAGTACAAGCAAGCCGGTGTCCTCGCTCAAATGGGGACACGTGTATCCAGCACTGCCCACAGAGGATGAATGGTAAACTAGGGCTCCCTTGCCAGCCTGGTCTACCGAGCGTAAAGTTCAATCACCTTTTGGACATAGAGTCGGCAAGGTATATGCCTTTACCGAACATGTAGCCGGATACCGGAGCTTCTGGTGGTGCAATGCGCAACCCTTGGCTCTGCAAAGGCCGATCAGACGTCGTCAGCGCGCTGCTGCATCAAGATCTGCCGCTGGATCAGCACCAAACCCACCAGGATGCCAGGCCAATTGCTGCAACGTGACCCGTGCCACAGTAATTTCTTGCTTCCAATGTTGCCCAAAGGATTGGCGCGATCATCGGCTCTGTCCACCACGAAAATGTCTTCGACCTGGTATCTCAGGTGCTGATGGGTCTGTCCGTGCGTGTGAAGCGCGTAATCCTGCAGAATGCTGAACTCTTTGCTATCGTGCTCGAGCACTTCCAACTTGTTCAATTTGAGACCTTCGATGCGAGCATCCAGCGGGTTGACATCCCCAGCTGCAGTAGACTTCATCAGCTTCGCACCCGCTTCCATTTCGCCCAGTGTGGCAAGCACGTCAAGCTCATTCTTGACCATCTCCATGTTGTTGATGACCGGAGGACGCGTGTTGCGTGGGAAGATGTGCGGAATGAGCGAAAGGTACTCGTTGGAAAGCGATTGCAATTGAGCTTGCGTCCCTCCGCTCGGCTGTTCCAGCGAATCTGAGATCGAAGAGAGCACGCCTAGCGCACGCTTAAGCGTCGTGCCCCCAATCCTACCCAGAGGTTGCTTGGTTGCATCATACTTGAGCTCAGCGAGAGTGCGATCTATGATGCTTTGATTGAACATCAAGCGTGCTAGAGACTGCACGGACGGAGACAGCTTGCTGGGGAAAGCCTCTGCACGAGCCTATGTGTGTGTGCAGCTGTAAGCAGCTGACAAGCTGTTTGCGTATCGCAGCACTTACCTTTTTGGTGGGCGAGGCGGTAGATGCCCGGCTTGGTCTGGCATCTTCCCCCTGCTCATCTGCACCTTCCGTGTCGTCGTGGCCAAAGTCCACATCGAGCCAAGTATACTTTCCTGGCTCGGAAGGCGCCGTCGCTCGAGCCTCCCAGGGAAAGCTAGTCTTCGACTTGAACCTGCTCTTGAATTCCGAGATTGCCTGGGCTTCGTTCGAGACATCGATGGTCTTTTGCTGGCCAGGCTCGCCGACGCGACCCCAACGAGTGAAGACTACAGGTTCACCTTTGCCATCATCAGGCACTAGAATCTGAAGAAAGTATGCTGAGAGACACCAGTGAAGCCTTTAATCAGCATACTTCCAGCCTGCTACCTTGCTGAGACTGACCTTTTGATGCGTTCTTGCCCGCATCCACCTGGTTCAATGTGGCTGAGTAGACTGCAAGAACGATTGGCATAGCAGCTGCTTCAGACCGGGAGTCCAGCGGTAGATTGATCAGATGCAAAGTCACTCACTTTCGCCGTCGCGTGCGAGCACATGAAAGGTGTCCTTGAGACCACAATAGATGTCGACGGGAGCAGCACCCTTCCTGACTATGAAGGGCGAGGCAAGCAGTAGGAAGGCGATCAAAAGTACGTCTGAGGGCAGGCTTGTCGTTGCTGTACTAACCCACTGTTGTTGGTTTGGATGGCTCGGGCGTGCGCAGCGTTCGAGTGCGCTTCGTAGGAGAAGCGGAGCGCTGTGAACGCGACTTCTTCTTGTCTTCGTCGTCCGCATCATCGTCATCGTCATCACCTTTGCAGACGCCGAGGTTCCACACTTGTAAGGAGCTATCAAGCAGCATACAGGCCCTCGAGATGCGTACCATTTGCAGGAGCGGATCGCTTGCTGCCTTTCGCGGCCGTGTCCGAAGCATCTCTGGTCAGTTGGTTTTGCCCATTGTCGTCCCATTCGTATTTCGCGATGTCTTGCTTTTTGCCCAGTCTCTAAAGGCACAGGGAAGCCCATGAGCAGAAGCGCAATGGCCTAGTCTATAGTTGCGCTCACATTGGAGTCGATGATCCATTCTAGCGCAAGCACCGGCAGCTTTGCTTCACGGGCCTGGATGGCTTTGACTCCGCTGTTAGCAGTGAGCAAGTGAGGTGAAAATGCTCAGTCTGTGGGCATACATGCGAGTCAGGCACGACGACTAGGCAAGGTGCACTTACTCGACTTCGTATGCGGAGCAAACAAGGTGGCTCGTCTTTTTGGTGATGCTCACGCTGGTCGCCCCGCCAGCGGAAGAGATCAGGTCTGCAATCTCGTTGCGAGACCTTCCAAGCTATGGAACGAAGACAAGCGAGTACATGCTGCGTCAGACGAACGGCAAGTTCCCTCTGCAAGTCGACCAAGAACGCACATTACCAGAGAGGCAAATGATGCAACCTTCGAGGGGAAGGCCGGCACTGACTTGTGCTGCAGCCTGCTTCTTGGGTGCCATGCTGGATACGCTCAAGGACAGAGCGGCGAATGGTCACGCTGCACTTGGAGCAAAGGAGTGAAGTGCTGGGCTGGGCAAGGTTCTGAATGGAATGGTAGCTAGGAGGAGCAGCTGGAAGATGCCGCGGCAGTTACTGCCCTTATGTACCTTTCTGACCGATCGATAGCGTACATGGAGGTCGAGTAGTGGAAGGGAAAGCACAAAGGCATGCGCACACGAGGCGGTGCCAGCTAGCTGAGCTGTGTAGCTCGTGGTGCTTGCAACATTCAGCGAAGCTCCGTTCCGTCACGGAGGTGGCACCTCAGCCGTGTCATGCGCATGGACGTGGCCGGTCGAGTTTGTGTTCCCTATACATCGTGTGTCACGTATACAAAGTGCGTACAGAATACGCCCGCCCGCCGCGCTGCAACTGCTGTGAAGTGAAGTACTGCGTGGGACGATCAGCATGAACGCTGCAAGGACTTTCCTTTGCACGTCCCTTGGCGCATAGGCCAAGTCGGACCGCATGGTTGCTCAGGGC